AAAAAAAAAAAAAACACACCAATTCTCTAGACAACATTTTAAGCCGAAAGTTCTAAAAAAAGGCCCAATCAGTTATGGATGTACTTGCTATGAATATACAACTTTGGCGTACTTTTTGAGTCCATTGTTAAGTAGAATTTAATGTTTTGTTTTTAAACGCATCTTATCAAATAATGCGTTCAAACAAAAATTGTTAAGTAGAAATTAATGTTTTGTTTTTAAACGCATCTTCTCAAATAATGCGTTCAAACAAAAAAATTTATCAACGCGTTCATAAATTGGTAGATATCTCATTATATTATTGCATTGTTAAATTCTTTGTGCATGTTGTTAAATTTATTTGAAGCTAGATTTATAAATGTCATAAAAGATGGGTATGAATATTTTAAAATTATGACAAATATTAGTTATAATTATAGGCTGAACTAGGGCCGGCTGTGCGTGCACAGCCACCGGCCAACTAGTATAAATAATTATAAATATCTTTAGTAAAATTACTTAAGTAAGAAAATTAATTCATTTAAGTTACAATTAATTTTGCATAGATGTAACTTATTTGAATTAATTTTATGTAACTTGTTTGAATTAATTTTTCTTACGGAGCTAGTTTTACAAATATAATTAATATTTTTACTATAGGTATTAATTTTATATATTTTAAACTTTTTCAGAAACATAAATTTATTTACAAATAATATTTTCTATAATTTTATTTAAACAAATGAATTTAATTTTCTAAATAGTTTATTTTTAATGTTATTACATATATAGAATAAAATTAAGTTAAAACTTATTTTTTAACTTTTAGAATAAATTTCATTCAACTTTTGCATAAATATAAATTATGAAATAATTAACTTATTAGATAATTTTACTAAATTTATATTTATTTTTATTATAAGTGCTCAAAAATTAGATTTTTAATAAAAGTGTTGTGGTTTATATCATTATTACGTCAAAATACAAAGTGAATTTTGAGTCTTAAATTAAAAAAATAGAATATAAAAGTAGACCTTATATAATGCTCCGCCATAATTTTAATAGGAAAAAATTATAGGAAACACTCCTTGAATAGGAAACACTCAATCGTTCTCGCCATAATTTTAATAGGAAACACTCCTTGAATAGAGTAGTGTAAAAAGCAGAAAAAACACAAGTGAGGAGAGAACGATTGAGTCACGAGTGACGTGCACGTGTGGGCCCCGCGTTCGGTGGTGCACACATTGCCAAGCAGCTAGTGTGCGTGCGTGCGTCCAATTCGGAGCCCCATGATGAGCGCCAAAACCAAATCCTATTTAGTCCTTTTTGCCGCTCACTCTAAAATAAATAAATACAGAAAATAAAAATAAAAAATAAAAATTAACCACACCCAGACAAACCAAACCCTCACCCACAAGTACAACACTACCTTTTCCCCTAAATTTCACTCTGCAAGAACATTCAAAATCGAAATCGATCTTTCTCCCCCAATTGTTTTTCGCCAATCCTGCTAAATCACTCAATCTGTCCTCCTTCTCGTCCCTTTTCCCGAGCCGGAATCAGGCCTTGAGCCGCATCGCCGAGAATGGCTCAGCCGTCGTCGCCGGCTCCACCGATCGCCCCAGCCCCGCCGCCGCCGCCGCCTCTTCAAGCAGGCGCCGCG